TCCGCCCGCCCCTGGGTGGTCGAAGGACGGTGCGGTCGCCCCTTCCTCATCTGTAGCTTCTTCAGCCTCCGAGGAGAGGTCTTCCAGCTCGATGGGCTTGTCCGACGGGACTGCGGCATGGTTGACAGATGCTGAGGTATCTCTGGCCATTAGTCTCTGGACCAAACCGCGGATCAAAATAATGAAAACTAAAAGTATTATTAAACTCAGAACAACCTTGCAAACAGATTCTATTATGGAACCAGCCCACCCGCTGAGGCCCCAACCCTTAAAAATGTCCCCCAGCCAGTCAGAGGTCTCTTGCTTGACCTGATGGACGAGGTCTTGCAGCCTCTTGATGGAATGTTTGGCATCCTCGGCTCGAGAGGACAGGTTCAGGCAGCAGAGGCCCTCAAACTCCTCACAGTGATGATGATGGAGCAGCAATAGAAAATCTATTGCTGCTCTGTTTTGGAGTGTCGCCTTCCTTGTTATTTCCTCGTCTGTGAGGAGGTCGTAGAGCGCGGCTGAAGTAAAATTTGCTTGTTTAGCCACCCAACACTCTAGGCAGCCTAATTCACCTAGAGCCTTCGCCACCGATACCCAAGGCAACAAGATGGTAAAGGCGACGGATTTTGAGTGTGACCAATGAGTAATTTCATCATCACAATCCTCAGTGAGATCCTTGAGATCTCTTTTAGGTCTAGCCAATTTGGATATGATGTTTGTCTTCTTCCAATTGATAATTTGAGTGACGGGGGTAAACAGCGTCAGCTGGCCAAAAGTGCACGGCCCTCCAACCAGGCCAGAGGGGATGCCTGCCCACGCCCGGTCGCCACAAATTAAAAACACGCCTCGGGGAAGGGAGTAAGGGGTCCGTCCGGTAGTGGTGGGGCCGAGGATCTTTAGGACAGCCTTACACCACTGCTTAGCTTGGTATTCTAACTTGGACTGTAGCACTACCTCACTACCCCTCTCGACGGGGGTGATTGTATAATCAAACTGAAAGCAAATTGATGCATTGGTCGAGCCGAGGAGTTGTAACTCTGTGGGCTCGGAGGGTGCAGGATCCAGCCTGCTCACTCCGTTGGAGGAATCAAAACTGAGGAGGATAGTAAGGCTCTGGGCTAGGATAGCGTTAAAGGCACTTTGGAAGGCAGGGGGAAACTCGCCTGGAGAGAAAGGGATCCCCACAAGGCAAGACAACATCGGGTCCTCTGCTGCGCCGGTGTCTAGGCATATACTGTCCTGTCATAACGATTGAGCCAAGGCACGCCAGACGTTGACTTTCGGCTGGGGGATGACCCACGGCTCCGAAGGTGGCAAAAGGAGTCCGCAGGTCGTCATGATCGCCATTAGCAGGCTAGGGTTGGGAGCCAGCGATGTTGAAACGGGGGCCATGGGGGAGATGTAACTGAAATGAGATCAGATAGTAAAAGCATGACGAATTCACAAAAATGGTTCTTCTCCAAACAACCAGTTTAAATAAAACATACGGGGGGTAAGAGCTGGAGCAGGGGGTGAATGGGAGGAGACGTGACATAGGAGGTCAAGGGGTGGAGGAGAAGCTGGAGGAGAGGGCTCTTCTGTAACTGGGGGGAGATCCAGAGAGAAAGACAAAGATTGATGGTGTGGTTTCCTCCGCCAACACCAACAAGCTTGTCGGACCTGTGGTACTGCCTCCCTCTTGGTCCTCTGTTTCGGGACGAAAGGCCTAACCCATTTGGATGGAATCCACCTGGGGCCTGAGGGAGTGGACACGCAGGCATATCCCCTCCCCCAGGTTACCAGGTCAAAGGGGCCCTCCGTCCGCCAGGTCTCCGGATCTTTTACAAGAACTGGTGGCCTGGCTTTAGGCTGCAGCTGCTGGTGACTGCCGAAGTGCCGGACCACTGGAGGATTTTGGCTGTCAAAAGAGCAATTCAGAAAGTTAAGCGTGTACAATGCTCTTGAGAGCCGGACGTGGGGGGTCTCCACCTTCATCGCCGGTTGTTGCTGGGATAAGATCTTCTTAAGGCTCTGGTGGGCCCTCTCCACCATGGCCTGGCCTGTTGGGGAATAGGGGATGCCGGTCTTATGGACTATTTCCCATTGCTGCAGGAAGCTCCGCAGCTCCTTGGAGGTATACGCAGGGCCGTTATCGGTTTTTAGGGCCCTAGGGATGCCCAAGACAGCGAATGCCTGAAGCAGATGCTTCTGGACATCCGCTGCCTTTTCGCCTGTGTGGGCAGAAGCATAGATAGCCCCGGAGAAGGTATCAACTGAGACATGGACGTAACACAATCGACCAAAAGATGGGATATGTGTCACGTCCATCTGCCACACCTTGCAGCTCGCCAAACCTCAGGGATTGGCCCCCGAGGCCACAGTAGGCATCTGATCCTTTTGGCATTGGGGACATGTGGCCACTATCGCCTTGGCCTGATCCTGCATCAGATTGAATTGCCGGACCAGACCAGGCGCATTCTGATGGAAAAGTTGGTGACTGATCTTAGCCTGGCCGAACACGTCTGGGAGAGGGGCCTGCGAAACAGCAGCCGCGGCCAAAGAGTCAGCACGACGGTTGCCTTCCACAATAAACCCGGGCAGATCAGTAAGTGATCTCACATGCATAACATAAAAAGGGTGCTTGCGGTGGGAGACTAGCTCGACGAGCCTGTTAAGCAAATCAAATAATCTTTTGTTGGTGACCTCTTGAAGAACCACAGACTCAGCTCGGGACACTACACCTGCGACATACGCAGAATCTGTAACCAAATTAAAAGGCCCAGGGAACCTCTGGAATGCCCTGACGACTGCGTCCAACTCAGCAACTTGTGGAGAGCCCTCCACAACAACAACATCGGTCTCCCACTGCTGAGTCTGAGGATCTTTCCAAGTCATTACTGACTTGTGGGATGCTCCAGACGCGTCTGTGAAAACTGTCAAGGCATCCAGCGGTTTCCTGCTCTGAACCTTTTTCAGTGATAATTTAAACTCCGAATTGAATAATTTGTGGGCGGGCTGATCTACTGCGATGCGCCCAGTGTAGCTATCTAGTGCAAACTGCAGGTATTCATTAGTTTGCAGCAGTTCTTCAAAGGTCTTTAATTTTAGTTGGCCCGATTCCAATTTAATTGGGATATGTATGCATGCAAAATCACACCCCGCCAACTCCCTGATCCTCGATCTTGCTTTGAGGATCAGTTCGGCTACCAACTCCTGTGGTCGTGTCATTCTTTTGGACTGATGGTGGCTGAGGAACACCCACTCTATAATTAAGAGGGGGTCACCCAGCCCCTGGTCCTTTACACTGGTGTCCCACTGGTGTATCATGCCATGGAGGTGTGGCAATTTTCCCAGTATAATAAATTTGAAGGGCAGGCCCGGATGGTAACGATGGGCCTGCCTGGCCGAAATAACTTTCTGTATCTTCTCCAAGGCCACCCCTGCCTCCGGGGTGAGAGCCCTAGGGGAACTCAGCCCCTCTCCCCCTTTCAACAAATTGAAAAGGGGGGCTAGGTCCTCAGTTGAAATGCCTAGCCAGGGTCTCACCCAATTTAAAGACCCACACAGCTGATGGACATCCGCTAGGGTCTGGGACTTTTGTCCTAATAGCCAGTTTCTGCGGAACAATGGTCCACTTTGTGATTTCGAGGCCCAAGTATTTCCAAGGTGGCATCCGCTGAATTTTGTCCTGCTGGAGCTCGAACCCTGCAGCAACCAATGCATTGGTTGTCAGGTCAAGCACACAGGCAAGCAGACTGTGGTCGGGCGCACACACGAGGATGTCGTCCATGTAATGGTGGATTATGACGGCATCCCCGAGGGCTGTACGTATGGGTGACAGCAGCGAAGCGACGTACCATTGGCAGATCACAGGGCTGTTCTTAAGGCCTTGCGGAAGTACCCGCCAATGATAGCGCTTGGCTGGGGACTCACGGATGATGGACGGAACCGTGAACGCAAAGCGCGGGGCATCGTCTGGGTGCAGGGGAATCTGGAAAAAACAATCTTTTATATCTGTAACTGCCAAATTCCAATTTTGGGGGAGCATTGCTGGGGAGGGCATCCCTGGCTGAAGAGGACCCATGTCCATTATTTGTTCGTTAATTTGGCGGAGGTCGGTCAGGAGCCGCCACTTGTCCTTATTAGGCTTCTTAATGACAAACACTGGGGAGTTCCAAGGTGACATTGTCTTCACCAGGTGGCCTTTCAGTAACTGCTCCTGAACGAGCTCATTGAGCGCTTTCAATTTTTGCTTGTTGAGTGGCCACTGCAAGACCTGTACTGGTTTATCTGACAGCCAATTCAGCTTCCAGGTCTGGCGCTCCTCAGTGGCCACTGCCCGAAAAACCTGGGGAGCCTTTGGGAGGTCAATTCTAGCTCCCCACTGGGCTAGTAGGTCCCTTCCCCAGAGAGGCTCGGTGTAATCTAAAACGAACGGGCGTATAGAGGCCAATTGCCCGTCGGGCCCCTTAATTTGCACAATGCTCTTAGATTGATTGGCCAATTGAAGGCCCCCAACACCTGAGATTGTGCCCGCAGCGCTTTGCAAGTCCCAATGTGACGGCCACTCCCGAGAGGGAATGATAGTCACATCCGCACCCGTGTCCAAAAGACCCCTCACGATCTTTTTGTTCCCGCCCAACGAGAGCTGACAAGTCAGGCGGGGCTTCTCCCTCCCCACCAGTTGTGCCCAGGCTACTGTCGGAGGTGATGTCTTCTCCACGGAGTTCTTCCAATGATCTTTATCTGGAACCGGAATAGCCTGGGCAATGATCTGTCCCTTAGGGAGGAAGAGTGGGGGTCGGACACAGTACAGCCCTACCGCGAAACGGTCCCGGTCGGTAGTTACTAGACCAGGGACGATGTGAATGTCTCGCGGTGTGTGCTTCGTGTCCCCGACGATGGTCCACCTGCAACGTCCAAGTTTCGTCCAGCGACCCGGGTGTTGCAGGTCGACAGACACCAGCTGGATATCACTACTAGGGAGATAAAAGTCCCTAGTTAGCTGCAGCCTGTAGGGGGAAACAGAGGACATGGTGTTAAGCGCAGGTACAGTACCACATATTGGTGTAGTCACATCAGATAAGTAAGTCAAGTCTGGCAAAGTAAATGTTGGCGGCTCTCTCTCGTCTCCTCCCTCCCCGCTTGTTGTTAAGTGGCCTGCCGCATTTTTGTCTTCGCGCAGGGAGGGGCTGCGCTCCGGGCCTAGTTTTTTGTGCCCTTACTCTCCTCCCTTTCCCGCTTCCTTCTATACTCTAAATAATCTAATCGCATCGGGCATTGGGGCATCCAATGCCTTGTCTTGCCACAGAGGTGGCAGGGGTGGGTGGCCGTTGATCTTCTGCCGGACCCGGGTGTTGGGGGTCCGGCAACGGGGGCAGCTTCTATATCAAAGAAGTCCGGTTCGGGGTCCTCCGCAAAAGCCACTGAGGCTCTTTTAGGCCGCGATGGTAGGGATACCTGGCCTACCACGGCCTCTATCATGGCCTCCACCGTGGGCCGGGGACTTCGAGGGAGCCTCCTGATGGCCTTCCGACACTCTAGGTTGGCGTTGCTATACGCCATCCTCCAGAGCATCTTCTCCCTGTCGTCGTCCCCGGTCGCCTGCGCCTCCACGTATCTGTAGAGGTGCTTGATGAAAACCATGTAAGGCTCTTGCGGCCCCTGCCGGACTTCATCGTCCTCCCATTGGGAGGTCACCACCTCTAGCTTATAAAAGGCCCTCTCAGCTGCTTTTGCGGTCTCTACAAGCTGAGGCGGGAACAAGGCCTTTGCTTGAGCTACTCCCTCTGCCCACTGTCCCTCGCCCAAAAGATGTTCTTGGGAAATTGCCAAACCGTCCGCATCATGAGACACTGAAGGATTCCCCCAAAGAATCGGGAGAACCTCCACTATCTCCCTCCTCCATTCCCCCACCCAGACCCTAAACTCCATGGGTCTTGTTAAACTGGAGAAGAGGGCCCTCAGGTCCACCGGCACCAGATCTCCCTGTGCAAGGGCATTCCGGAGCATACCCCGGAAGTATTCAGACCCGCGGGAGTAGTCCTTCTGCGCCTTGCACAGTTCCTTAATCCGGGCCTGTGCTAAAGGCACCCGCTGGGCCTGAGAGCTCCCCTCCCCGCTGAGGTGGTACGTAACCGGAGCGGCTTCCAATAAAGGCGCCTGCCCCGGCTTCCAGTCATCCATCTCCCCCCCACCCCGAACACAAGGCGTGAGAACCGGAAGGGGGAGTGTGGGAACCAGAGTTGGAGGAGGTTGAGGCGGGGTCTGGCAATGGGGCAGGGCGAGGGAGTGGGCGCGGCACACCGCCCCTCTCCGCCTCCTTGATGGAGTTCGGAGGCGGAGCAGAGTATGAAGGTGGAGCAGGGGAGGAGTTAACAGGGGGCTGAACCGGGGGAGGAACCTGGGGAGGAGCCGACGAAGGATCGGAGGGCGGAGAAATGGAATGAGCAGAGGGAAGAGATGGGGGAGGGACAACCGAAAAAGAGGTTGGGTCCAGGGGAAGGAAGGGGTTGGCATCAGGGAGGAAAGGGTTAGGAGGAGAAGAAAGAGCCCTGGCGGGAGCGGCCACATGGCCGCCACCATCTCAGGCACCAAGGGATCCCTTTTGAGGGTCTTCGCAAAACCGAACAACTTTGGGGTTTGAAACCAGGGACTTCGGGACCGGGGTAGAGGGTAAGGGAAGAGAAGGAGCCTGGCCAGGGCTCCTCGAAGGGGGAGGCCAAGCAGGTCGAGGGGGAGTAGGGGCAGGATGGACCCCCTGCCTCTGGTCGGCCCTCAAAATCCCCCTCGAGGGCTCTTGCCTACGGGACGAGGGAAAGGTTTGGGGGACAAGGGCAACTGAACGAGGAGAACGAGGGGACAAACCAGAACCCGCGGGACTTTCCTTAGGCTCCCCAGACGCGCGGAGTGTCGCATGTACTCTGCGCGCGCAATACGCCACGGTGGCCAGTTTTGTCTCCCCGGAGTTTATGGCCTCTTCTAATTTTGCTACAACGGCTGCCCAAAACCGCGGCTCTTTTACATGTTCCGGGATGACCTCGGGGAACCTAGAAAATACCCACTTAACTAAACATTTTAACTCCTGCTCGGGGGCTTTTTGACCACCCCCAAGCAACAAACCCTTCACAACATAATAAACCTCCTTCTGGGATTTTCCCAAGCCGGCACCCATGGCGCCTTTCTAGAGCAGGAACTGCTGCCGCTAGAAAGGGGGAAAATCCTCTGATGACGCAACCGCACGCCCGGGAAACAACGAGACCTTAAACAATGAGCCGCCCGCCGCCGGCCCCTGCCCCCTGCACTGCCCCAAAGTCTGGGTAAACAGCCGGAGGGAAAAAAGGAAATTGGGTGATGGGTCCGGCCCCACGTCTGGGGAAATCCGGCACCCAAAGGGAAGAGAAAACAAAAACGGCGTGGGGGCGAGGAAAAACCTCAAGGAGAGAAGGCAGGGGGTAGGTCCCCAACGCAGGGCATATACCCCTAGGGAAAGTTAAAAAGGCAGAGGGGAAGCCGGAGAGTCCCCAGGACGGGGCCCGAACTCACCAATCCTGCAGTGGCGACAAAGAAAAAACCAGGCGAGGGTCCCTCGTCTCGGGGAGTCGTCCTCTGAGGGTGCGAGAAGTCCCGACTCCCTTCCGCCAGGGAGCGCTGCTCCTAAAACGGAGCCTGCTACTAGCCGGGGTAGTCTGGCGTCCAAAGGGTAAGTAAATCCCAACTCTGCACGGTCCAGTCCGTGGTCAGAAGTCCACTTCGTCGGCCCCTACGTTGGTTGCCAAACTGCGCGAGGGCGTACACGGCCCTAAGTCTGGCTAGCTGAAGGGGTGAAGCGGCCGACGCCCCTGCGCATCAGAAGCCAGTCCCCCTTGGCGTCCTGGCCTCGGGCTGGGTTGGATTGCGGACTTGGATTCGCGCTGGACGAGACGAGAGAGGAGGCGACCACTTGCTGGGGGTAAAACGTCGGTTTATTGAAGAGCCCACATGCAGCACAGGGCAAACCAACAGGTGGAAAATCCCACAGCAAAATGGCCACGAACACGGGGGTGGAGACAGAGTTTTACAGGGAAGGGGTGGAGACGGGAGGGGAAGCCCAGCTAACCAATAGGGGAACTTGTGGGGAGGTACATAAGAAAACTGACACCAGAACTTATCCAATAAACATAGAACAAAGGAGGGGCCCCGGGATGCCAGCCAACCACAACCCCCAGAGAGAAGAATGTTCTAGAAAGCAGGGAGGAGTGGGGGGTGATTGACTGGGCTCAGGGAGGAGGAAAACTTTACTTATATGGTGGGATAAGGGAGGAGCAGTTATGTAACTTGGGAGATTGACAATTAACAGGGGCAGGGGTAACCATAGTAACATAACTGCCAAAGGCTCTGTGGCGGGAAAACTGGAGGGGGAAGAACCATCTTACAAAGAACAGGGGGGGAATAATACATAAAATGGGGGAACAAAACAAGAAATTTAAGAACACGCTACAACAATTATTGTATTTCTGCCCAGCTCTAAAACCATGCTAACATTGGCATAACAAAAACTGTGGGTCATAAATAAAGGATTCCTTAAAATAAGGCAAGTGCAGGAGTAGCGCCTCGTCCCTTTCACTGGTGTCAGTAACCGAAGGGTTTGATTCACAGATCATAGGCTTTTGAGTGACCAACAAGATTTCCAGAAAATAACCAGAACACCTCTGAAGTGCACCTGTATGATCATCAGGAGGAAATCTTGCAATGCCTACTCCAGAGTCAGCTTTGCAGAGACCAGAATAGATGTTTTCCTATTCATTATTTATTGACAGTGCCTTTTCAGAATAAACACTGACTTTTCAGGTGAGTCTTCTACCATCTGTGCTGGCTCACATGTTTGTAGGTGAGCTCTGGCAAGGTGAAAGCTGCCTCACTGCAGCAGTCCTCAGACTGGGATTTCTCAGCGGCTTTAGCTAGTTTACCAGAGTGCTGGTTCATACTGTGCCTGAGGATTAAGGGAATATGCCTCTGAGAGGCAGAGAAAGCACTTTGGGAAAGGGATCTCTGGAAGCTTCCCTAAAGTGAACCATCAGAGTTGGCCTGCAGTCTCTCAAGATTGCTAATTAGTGGGTTAAACTTTTTTCCTAAGAAAAATTTTGGAGTTATACCAAAGCAAAGAATGCAAAGTCCTTGATTTCAACATTTTTTATCTAGGCCAGTATCTCCTAACCTGTGGCTATAACACCCTGTCATCTCATGAGGTCTTCAGTTAGCCCAGAGACTGCCCCAGAAGCTCTGCTCAGTGGCAGCTGCATCAGTGCACAGGCTCTCCCCTCCATACGGTCTGGCCAGAGAGGTCACGGCATGACAGGGTGACACAACTCTTGTGTGACCTCCCTGGAGAAAAACAGCAATGTGCAGGAATCCCTTGGGGAAGCTCGATGCACCACGATACCCAGAAGAGCCAGAGCTGAGTGGCCCAAAGTGGCCATGTTTGAGCTAGAGATTTACTGAACGACTTTGCAGAGCACATTTTCTAAACAGAAGCCAGAGGACAGAAATTCTCTGAACTGTAGCATCCCTGTTTTAAGCTCCCAAGTTACTCAGTGAATGGATTAGTAAGACAAAACCCTTGCTGTACATCCCATGAACTGTCACCATGTTGCTGTTTGCTTCCTGACCGTCTGGATCCACTGCAGACGTGATCCTGCATCCTGTTCCAGAGCCCAGGCTCAGCCTGGGGTGGGATTCCCCATCCAACTGCTGCATCCTTCAAGTACTGCATGGCTGGAATCTGTGCTACAGATCCCCAGAAACATTTCTGTAGAAATAACCTAAACCCTCTCCCTGTTAGCCTTGGAATCACTTGGTTACTTGTGTGAAGCTTTTCTAGCATAAAAGATGGAATAATGGCTCAAAATGCTTATTTCTGATTTTATCAACATACAAAATAGATCAGAGTCAATAAAAGCTTAGTGCACTTGCCCAGACTCTTTAAATTTGCATCCATGTCTGTGCTTTTTCTGATGCAGCCCCCTTATGATTGGGACCTAGTGGATATTATTGGCATGCTCGCCTTGGCACACTGAGATTTGTTATTTTGGCAGATCTTTCTTGGTCTGATTCCAGCTTGTGTGCCATATGTTAATAAACCACGTGGGTTTCATCTTTTTGCATCTGGTTCAGTCCATCTATGCCTGCTGTGGTGTGCCCCCCAGCACTACTTTGTTTTCTCTGTGCATAGGGCAATAGCCCTCCAGTAATCTGTTCCAAACCTTTTACAGCAGGTGGGGACTGTCAGTGCCTTCCAAAGGACAGGTCCCACTGCAGGTCCCCAGGAGCAGGTGAGCTGGGAGGAGGACCCACGTTCACACTGCCTTCCCAGTGTGTTTGCTTCAGCCACACAGGCTCTGTGGCTCAAGTGAAACACTTGAAGGCTTTAGGTTCTAAAAAGGCAGATGGATTCAAAAATACATAAAGGGCTGTCACAACACCCACAAGAGAAACTGAGCTCCCATTGAGAATTGTGAGGGCCTGAATGGGTCTGTGTTTTGGCCCTTGGCTTTCCCATGGCAGAAGTGACTTTGAGTACTTTGAGTAATTTCCTAGTCCCTGTTGTACCTTCCTGGTGAATAAATCTGCCACAGGGAGTTTTTCCATTTATTAATATCATTTGTTGTTATCTCTTCTTCCTTTCCTAATTGTTGGCCGACAGGGACAGAGATCTGTTCTTATTGATCTGTGCTCATAAACAACCTCAATGCCCCGGTAGTGTGCATGCTGCCAGTCTGGAGGCAGGTTTGGTGTGGCCACAGCTCTTCACAGAAAGCAGCAGGCACAACTTCCCAAGGATTTTTCCTGGGAAGGCAGTGAGAAACACAGAACGAAGAAGAGAAAACAATTCTTATCTCTATTCACTGCTCCTGTTGTTGCACATGTGGAATGTGTTATGGAGATTGCTTACCCAAAGTGATTTGGTTATTGGACACTGGTGAACGTTGTTTTGATTCCTTGGCCAGTTGGGTCAAAGCTGTGTCCTGGCTGTCTCAGACAGTCACGGGTTTTTCTGTAGTATAGTACAGTATCTCTTTAGTATAGTTTTAATATAGTATTAGTGTAATATAGTATCATTTATTAAAGCAATTATTCAGCATTCTGAATCATGGAGTCAGAGCACATTATTCCCAGCTTCAGGGGCTCCCTACAATATTAGGTTTGGCACTGTCTGATTGGGCCAAGACAGCTATGAGGGCTCAGTTATCTAAATCACATCCTCTTAGGTGAACCCCTGGATGTGCTTCAGCCAAGAGTGGTTCTCTCCTATGATTGCCAAAACCTCCTACATGTGGCTCTTCCAAGTGCCATAAGTGCTAGGGCTGCCATTCAGCCATATGACCTCCATCTGATGTGGCTCCTGCTATGAAAAAGCTCTTTTTAAACTACTTAGAAAGGCTCAGAATCCTAACAGGATGCCCAAAATAGGGGAGAGTGGAAGTGGTTTAGTTGTCCTCCAGCATTTGCTGGCATCTCTGTGAGACATCCTTCTTCTCCACATCACTGTAACTTCCTTCACCAGCTATAGTCTCACCATTTGCCATTATCTTTGTGCACACAGTCTCCAAATACCTCTGTGCCCTTGTCCATCATTTGCTCGATACATTTTAGCTTGCTGAAATCACCTTTCAACTGAGACACTGTGTGTGATTTTCCTCTGTCAGATATGCTGTTCTCTACTGAAGGCATCAGCTATCTAAAGAATATCCTGGAGATTATATTAGCATTTCTGCAGCCAACTGGCTGGGGGATATTCCTTGGGCATATTTTACACAGAAAGACATCTACTCAATAGACAGGTGAATGTTACTGAAATAAATGTGAGAATGCAATTGTAACATGGACGAAGGCTCCTGTAAACCACTGTGTGAATCTGTTTCTAAATTTGCAAGTGCAATGTGGGGAAATTTATTTTATTGCTTATATTTTCATTTTATTTACTTGTCGGCCGGTTGAGAGACAAAGGAGAACGGGTGACTGTGCCTGCTTGTGAAGAAGCCCTTCTTTTGAAAGATGTCAGAGAAGTCAGACAAAAGCAAGCAGGTCTTGCAAAACAGCTTCTTAAATAACATTGCCAAGGCAAATACAGCTGAAGGTTGATTTCCCTGATGGATGCATAGCTTCAGAGAAGTTTATTTCATTACTCATCCTTCCCCTGTCACTTTGCCAGTGGCAAGGATTGAAGAATCTCTAATAGAGGTTTCTGCTCAGCACTTTAACCAGATACCATTTATCTGGGCGCTCCAAGGGCACTGAGGTGTGCCCAGGGCAGTGGTGCTGAGGGCACATGACACAGCCTTTAAAATAAAAGCTATTCTTGACAATAAAACCTATTTTTGACAGTTGAGGGGGAAAAGAGCTAAACTGCCTAGGCAAATGCATCTTCAGTTTAACAGCACAGGAAGCACTTGTTCAGCGTTGGGTCTGAGCTTCATGTGAGCACTGAAGAAGCACAAGGATGGCCACTGGCAATGAAACCTGCCCCAGCTGCTCTGGCAAAACAGTTACACAAAATCAGAGAAATGCCCTGGATAATCAGAGCTGGTTTTTGGTAAAAGTAACTCTATGAAGTCTGTAAGTACCAAATAGGTTCAAAAAGTCCTTGTGTTTTGCCAGAAATGCTCTCAGTGATTTGTCACTCAATGTGAATAACATTCAGAATGTTATTAAGAATAAACAGCAATGAACCAAAAGGCAATGTCTGCTCTTGGATGACAAAAAAATAAAGAAAATAGCTAAAGTACCCAGTTGTTGGTGGATCAGTGATTTTCTGTATTGAGATAAAGCCAATGATCCTGAAGGGCTGAAACAGACTTGTTTTGTATTTACCCCAGGCTGTTCTATGGGCAAACTCGTGTGTTTATCTCAGGAAAGTTGCCAGAAGTCACTGAGTATTCTCAGTCACAAGTATTCTTGAGTATGTGTATAACTTGCATGCAAATCAGTCTTCCCAGCAAAGGATAAAGCTGCAGAGGTAGTTTGATTAAGCAATTGATTGTATCTGTAAGAGCCAAAGGAAGCCTATCTGTGAGAACACTCAGCTCAACACACTCAATATTTGATATTCCTTTTCTGTAACCAGAGCCAAATAGCAAATGTATTTAGATTCTCAGCTAGGTAATCATTGCAGTTTTGTGCCATCTTGGTTTCTGGCTCTTAAAGATCTTGACATTTCATTTTGATTGTAATGATGATCATCTCCAGCTACACTCTATCTTTTCATATTAAACATTTCAAAATGGTTTTGTTGAAACAGACGTTTAATTTGTACAATTTGAAACCTCTTCACGATATCTGAAGCCATATATTCCAGACAAATTATGAAATAATAGCAAGTAAAAGAAGGAGGAAACTTGTCAGTTCTACTCTTCAAATCTGCCTGCTGTAGTACAGCATGTAGTCACAGGAATTAGATACTGCCTTTATAATAGATTCTTCACACTATAAAATGAAGTCACAATGCACTGTGGATTGGTCTGATGCTTAGAACATCTTAGTCTTATCCTCTACAGGTTTTTTTTGTGCCCTGTGAGGGATTCAGTATGTTATTGAGGGAAAGAAAGAAACATGTGAACTTACATTTAGTGCTACCCAAAAAAAGTTGTGAAGTGTTAGGCTATAAAAACATTCTTTATGCTTCATGCAAAGGCTCAATCAATTTCGATAAATCATTACTTAAGTACAATTTAATCTTTGAGATTTCTTCTAAATAACAGGAAAAGGTGTATCTTTATTTGACTTTTGTTTGCTGATTATCCTCCTTGCATTTAAAATATAAAGTTTCTACATTTAAGCTAAAGACCTAGAGGCTTTTATTACTTTCCTCTTTTACTGCATAAAATAAACAAGAAAAAACGTGAATGAAATCAGGTCAATTTCCATTTCTTCATCGTTTCAGATGATGGAAAACTGTCCTTTGATGAATTCAAAGCTTACTTTGCTGATGGAGTTCTGAGTGGAGCTTTTTCGCACCATTGATACACACAATACTGAGTAAGTGCCCCCTTCTTACAATTCCAGTGCCACTTTCTGCACCTGCAAATGGAAAACAGACCTCAGGCTGATTTTAGGAAACAAGTTTATGTGGAAAGTTGCTTGAAGGAAGCCAGGCTGTGTCATATGGCTATAAACTGTATAAGCGAAGAGTTTTGAAAACTCATTGAAATATTTGCATATTTCAATAGATGTGATTTGGGTACTAAGAACACAGGGTGGAAATTGGATGCTTTCTGCATTCCCCCACCATGGAAAGCAAAGGCCTCCTTCAGGCTTAACTGTGAATTCCTCAATTCTCAATTCCACTGAGTCATACTGAGATGAATACTTGGAGCAGATGTTGAGAAGGAAATAAAATAAATGAAGCAATTCTATATAGTAAAGAGTTGTGCTGGTGTGTCCTTGGGATATTCCCATTATGGTTGAGTTTAAAAAGGCCAAGGAGAAATAAGCTGACAGAAACTTCATGAAGTTCAGCAAGGAGAAGTGCAAAGTCCTGCTTCTGGGGAGAAACAAGCCCCAGATTTTGTGGGAAATGGAATCAAATTAAATGTAGCAGAGATCACAATATTTCAGACTTTTTACCAAAATAATGTCCTGAAGTAAGCAGAAGAAATGGTACTCGATCTGTTGGATTTGTGGGGAATAAAAAATACTACAGGATTTATGATGTGATTAAGGGATGGGGTGATGGAGACAAGGAGCAGGAGTCACCAACCTGGAGGTATTTGGGGGATTTGGCAGTGCTGGGTTAAAAGTTGGACTCGATGGTTTTAGAGGTCTGTTCTAACCCAAACAATTCTATGATTCTGTGGTTCTATGCACCAATAAGTGCTGGGGCCCACTCAGCTGCAAAACTGCTTGGCAGAAAAGGATATTGGGTGGACACCAAATTGAACATGAGCTAACAATGTGCCCTTATGGCCAAGAAGGTCAATGAATGACCCAGAGCCAAAAACTCATTTCAGAGCCAGACTCATTCCCACAGCTTTGGACTTCCTCATATGTACCACATATCTGTGTAAGTGGTTTTATTTTAACATAATTCCATTTGTCTGCAAGCATACTGATAATGGCAGAAATTCTTGATACTAAGCAAGATTTCTAAGAAAAAATACATTTAGTAAAGCTTTTTAAATTAATGTATTATTATTATTATTATTATTATTATACCATTTTCTCTTTAACAGAGAATATATAAATCTAAAAAATATGTAGAAAAATGAGAATAACATTATGCTTTTCCTCCTGGTAGATAGGCACACCTGAAGAATTGGTGCAATTGTTGAATGCTGCTGCTATTAATTGAAAATAGGTAATTAAACTGTCATGGCAGCCATCTGAGAGAGAGATAATTTTCACTGTCCAGAAAAAGCCTGGCAAAAATCTGGGCACAAAAGTTTCAGAGTAAATGCTGTGAAGAGTTCAGTTTTCATGTATTTCAGGGAATGGAGCCGGTGGAAGATTAAGACAAGCTACTAAATTACCTTTTTGAACCAGAAGAAAGGGTGCTCTGTATTGATGGATTAACATTTGTTACAGGAGGAGGAGGAGGAGAACCTAGATGTGGGTAAGAAAATGTACTTGAGACTTGGATTTAAAACAGCAACAAGAAGCTTTTTGAGTGGTTTTTTCATGGGGTCTTGAACTGATAAAAGGCTTTAGGGTGACTTTGCAGCTGAAAAGTATTATACCATGCTTGATATATAACAGAGGCAAATACATTTTAAAAGCTTTTCCCTACCCCTTTGTAAGCTTTTGAGAAACATGTCAGCAAGATGTCACAGGCCAAATATCAGATGGATATAGCAAAGAGAGACAGCTTGGCCAGTATAATATAATTTCCTTGTTAACATAACTTTCAAAAAGAAAAAAAAAAATCACATGGAGCAGATATGGTGAAGCAAAAACTTTTTCCTGAAAAGGGCAAGTTATGGTAAAATGTCTCAAATTAATGAGCTAGCTAAAAAAGTAGCAAAATGTTCATTGAACCTTGGGAAGTATTTTAATGTAAGCATTAGGAGAATCATGTACATATCAAACAATCCCCAAACCACCTATTTTAAGATAGTTTCACTTCCAAATTATCCGAGGGAATGAAATGAAAATGATGCAACTCAGAAGTATTTTAGGGGAGGGCAAAGAATTCTGCTCAATTTTGTACCTAGTGGGAGAAGATTTGCACAGATTGTTTTGTCTCTCTTATCCAGTTAAAATGCAGACACTGTCAAACTCTGGGCAAATCTTTTATCTTCTCTCTGCTTCACTTCACTATTTACAAATTGCAGACTGTAGCTCCCTATCCCAGGAATACTTCACAAGCATTGTGATTATGCAGTGATTTACACTACACATAAATGCCTAGGACAGATGTCTAGGGAAGCATGTCATGATCCCTTTGTTCATTTCTTGGAGTATCTCAGGATTTCATAACCATCTTGTCACAAGAGCAGACTTTGGGTTGTTTCCACCCGCGTTAAATCCTTTAGCTCTGCCAGCATTCAAAACCTCACTGTCTGTGTGCACAAGTCTTTGTGCTTTAAAGCCTCAAGATGAAAAAGATGTGGCCTTGGGGTGATAGCCATGGACCACAAACTCAGGCAATTTGAATCCCCTTCTCAGCTGTGCTGCAGCAATTTTCCAATAAAAGATTCCAAGCATGAATGACTTACACTGGCTTAACACTTCTAAGGAAACTAAATTAAGCAGGTATTAAACCCCACTATTACACGGGCCCTAATGTCGGTCTGGTAGAAGTGAGATTTAGATTATTAACTTTTATAAAGACCAATCCAAGCCAATGCAACATGCTTGTCACAAAGCAGGTAGACTGTGGAAGACTGCTGAAATGAGTAATTACCATTTCCAATGTGATAGCAGGGAAAATAACAGAGGGTTTAACTTCCCAATAATTCAGGTTGTGTCTGCCTGACTGACTAGGATCTCTGCACCTTGGTATTTGAAGCAGTCAGGTGTTCTCTTTTTACAGAGTAAAAGGAGTCAATTAGTGCCTAATCAGCAGGAAAAACACAGATGAGTAAGAATTAGTTACTGCTGCACCAAGTTTCCAAGACATAGGTTGAATAGGAGTCTATTATGACAGGATGAATTTAAATGTACTTTTTTTCCTAGACCCTAAAGTACAGGTTATTAATTCAGGGCAGATCATTGCTTGTACTAAAAATTTGCATTAGCTGAGGGTATTTCCTCGGTTTGGAATACATAATTTGGACATATATTTAGCAGTTTATGAAGCTACTTCCATGTATACTATTTTTCTTTCTATTTAAAAATATGTACCTTACCTTTTTATGACATTTGATATATTAAATAAATACTGTTAAAGACACAGTGTACAAATTGATTGCCTTAATTTTTTAGCTTCTTTTTTTCTTTGGATACAGCCAGAAACAAATGCATAAGACAACAAAATTAGGTGAAGTAGCGTATCGATGAAAAAAGGAAATATTTTTTTCCATCTTTTAGTACTGCTATGATATTTTACCTTTCTTGAAGGTAAGCTTTTATTAGGCAATACAGTGAGCATTGCTGACATGTAATTACAAGGTGACTGTTCTAGGGGGGTAGCAGTTAACCATTCTTCTGTAAGTGCTGTTTCCAGTATTGTCATTACTTCAGAGTGAAGCTGAAAGCCAATTAAGCATTTGACTGCCACTGAGAGTCACTGCTATTTGTTCTTTCCAGGATCTCATGAATCCTTTGGGCAATCATATACCATTAAATGGTATAAATCAGCAGCTGTGGAGGGTCCACACTTAGATGCCCTCACACTGCCAGTGGAAGGAAAGGCTTTGCATTGATGCAGAATTGATGCTTTGCATTGATGCAGAAGGGATCAGGTCGAGGCTGTTACAGCCACATCTCCAGGTTCTTGTTTCCTAGCAAGCATTTTCTTCTACTGCAGTGTCCTGTACTTAAAGACCTGTAAAAAAAACCCCAACTGAACAAATACAGGTAGGAAATCAAGAGTTTTGACTTAAGCTTCAGCCTGAAGTTTGTACAGTGATTCTCCTCCCCTTTTCATAATTCTGACGCCGTCCGTCTTGCCACTTCACCCCCAAGAACTGAATTTCTCGGGCAGGTCTCTTGACTTTGCTCTTCTTAATGGCAAATCCAGCTTTCAGGAGAATATGAAGTAGAGCTGGAGCCTGGGATGTTAGCTGCAGCCTGGGTCACTGGGATAGTAACTAACTTATCTCCCTGTTCCCTTTCTGCTATCTGCTGCTCCACAGTATCTAGCAGAGTACGGTAAACAAACGCCAAGGCCCAGCTCACTGCAGTAATCCTTTCCTCCTTAGTATTACCATGGCACTTCTCCCTCAAATACTTTGCCACCTCGACTGGGTTCTGAATTTGATCGGATGGAAAGTCCCAGTCTATAGGATCAGAGAATTCCTTTAAAGTCTGGCCCATATCCTCCCATTTCCCACTCCAGTCAAGATTTTTCCTGCTTTGTTTTACTCCTGAATCAGGAGTCTCTCTAACCCCTCTAGAAATCTCGGCTTTCATTTTATATACACTCCAGACAGTATAGAAAAGGCTTAATAAATTAAATGCCAGAAAGATGGTTTCTTTTAAACTCAGGGGAAATTCAATATTTCCTAATAGAGACGTCAACAATTTGGAGGAGAAGGAAGACAAAAGCTGAGAAGCCCCTTCGCCTTCTTCTCCCCAAACAAACTGAGTACACAGCCATGACAACAATCCATACATTCCTGAAACAAAGTCCAGCATTTTTATCCGACAAATCCACACACATAAGACCAGCCCAATGACTATTCTGGTTAGTGCCCCCCGCTTACAAAAGCTACTTATTAGGGACAACACAAGAGCTATTTTTGGGTAAGGAAATAACCCTAGGGACCACAAAGATATTAAAGCTTCAAAAACCCCTAGGGACCAGAAATACCGGCAAGCTTCCACCCCAAATGACATTCTGAATTACCAATATGCCCACCAAACAACCAAAACCAAAA